AAATATTGTTTAACAATTACTACTGAAATGTATGCTCATGAATTACTTTCACTGAGATAATTACAATACATAAAGCATTTTATGTGAAACATGAGTTTATCGTTTAATTTAGGAGACAAATGTCATAACTTGATAATAGTTCAGGACAGACTGAAATGTAGTCTAAATTTTTCTCTCCATATAGGTTAATTGTGAATTATTACTGCCACAGTATTAAGACTTTTATCCATCAGACAGATGCCATATAATCTGAGACCATGAAATTGTTTCTTACACTGAATTATACAGTGAATACGTGACTAAACAGGAATCTGGGATTTGGGTAAAAGTCTGCCAGAAGAATATTTAACATTCACATAAATGCAACTGTGGTAGTGTGCAGAGCTCCAAATGATCCTGCCCTTAGCAAGGTACATAATTTTACTTGTGTGTGCAATCAAACCAAGTAATACACTGGAATATCAGAAATTAATATAGAAGCCCATATGAAAAACACCAAGTAGGACCCAATACAAACTTGCATACATAAAAAACTTAAAGAATTATATACTAAATTTTTCAATATAAAAGCAAGTGCAAAGACAACCTACATTCTTCTACCCAATATTTGTACTTTTCCCATACAAAATACAGTTCGTGAAAAATAAGACTACATCCCACCTATATGACTTTTAAATTTAAATTTATTGAGTTGAAGTGAGGAATTTTTTTTACAATGCTAGAGCAGTTAACAAATATTTTTGATTGATGCTGATATATTAGTTAAGACCTCTACCTCTATACACATTAATATCCTCAGAAGGTATATAAATAAGAATGATAGAAAGAGCACAGTAAAGAAGCAGACCACAGAAGTAGGAATGTGTAAAAATATAGTGGATGTATTAGACTAGAGGCTGCTTGTAGAATGATTAGATAATAGTAATTACAGATAATGTACAGCTACAGGTGTCCCGTAGCTTGACTGCTAGCACACTCAGCTCACACACTGAGGTCCGAGGTTTGAATCTTCTCCGGTACGGCTGGAAAACATTAGGGACATGTTTCCATAAGACACCTGCTGTCCCAGTTCACCCATCAGTTTAAAATGGGTACCTGGGTGTTAGTCGACTGGTGTGGGTCGCATCCTGGGACAAAACTGACCTAATTTGCCCGTAATGCCCAGCATAACAAGGGGATTTCTATATAGTACTATGTCATTGATGTCAGCTAGGCCTGTATACCATGTACATTTTTTTTTTTTTTTTTTCAACAAGTCGGCCGTCTCCCACCGAGGCAGGGTGACCCAAAAAAGAAAGAAAATCCCCAAAAAGAAAATACTTTCATCATCATTCAACACTTTCACCACACTCGCACATTATCACTGTTTTTGCAGAGGTGCTCAGAATACAACAGTCTAGAAGCATACACATATAAAGATACACAACATATCCCTCCAAACTGCCAATATCCCAAACCCCTCCTTTAAAGTGCAGGCATTGTACTTCCCATTTCCAGGACTCAAGTCCGACTATATGAAAATAACCGGTTTCCCTGAATCCCTTCACTAAATATTACCCTGCTCACACTCCAACAGATCGTCAGGTCCCAAGTACCATTCGTCTCCATTCACTCCTATCTAACACGCTCACGCACGCTTGCTGGAAGTCCAAGCCCCTTACCCACAAAACCTCCTTTACCCCCTCTCTCCAACCCTTTCGAGGACGACCCCTACCCCGCCTTCCTTCCCCTATAGATTTATATGCTTTCCATGTCATTCTACTTTGATCAATTCTCTCTAAATGACCAAACCACCTCAACAACCCCTCTCCTGCCTCTGACTAATACTTTTATTAACTCCACACCTTCTCCTAATTTCCACACTCCGAATTTTCTGCATAATATTTACACCACACATTGCCCTTAAACAGGACATCTCCACTGCCTCCAACCGTCTCCTCGCTGCTGCATTTACCACCCAAGCTTCACACCCATATAAGAGTGTTGGTACTACTATACTTTCATACATTCCCTTCTTTGCCTCCATAGATAACGTTTTTTGACTCCACATATACCTCAACGCACCACTCACCTTTTTTCCCTCATCAATTCTATGATTAACCTCATCCTTCATAAATCCATCCGCTGACACGTCAACTCCATGTACATGTATTTGTAGTAAATGAAGATATTATTATTATTTTTTTTTAACAAGTCGGCCATCTCCCACCGAGGCAGGGTGACCCAAAAAGAAAGAAAATCCCCAAAAAGAAAATACTTTCATCATCATTCAACACTTTCACCTCACTCACACATTTTATTATTATTATAATCATAACCAAGCAATAAACCTGTGTACAGCTATATAAACTATTGCTTCCCCTATAGAAGTTTACATAAATGTGTAAAACACCAGACAGTAGGAATTAATTTCTAACCTAATTACGATAATTTCTATCTCATACTGCAATGAAGTTTATGAGAATAAGAAACTATCAAAAAATGTTTTAAAATTCAATTTTGCTCTACTATAATTGTGTACACACACATTTGCTGTGTTGCAACTTCAAAATAATTAATTTTTGTTACATCTGCCACTTTACACCCAGGTAGGGTGACCCAGAGGAGGAAACACACTGACCATCAATCATTCAAGCTCTATTGCCCCAAAAAATAAAAATTCACTTTCAATAATGAAAACTAAAAAATAAGGATATAAGCAACTTACAGGGTCACAATATCTCAGTGCAAGACAGCCATGTAAAAAAAATAGTTTACAAATTTTTAACACAGCAGTTGTCCAAACAAAGGAAACAGTCATCATTCATTCATTCAACGATAGGCAAAAATTTATATTATATGGATGAACTACTGGGAGGAAGGGGGCATAAATTTACATTACACGGATGAACTACTGGCAAAAATTTATATTACATGGATAAAGCATTCACTAAACTTTCAAAGATTAACTAAATATAATTTTCATTGAAGGCATCAGCTGTATAACACATTCTCAATTTTTGCAATCATTACTGTCAGCGGTATATCTCTGATTACACCCCATCCTCTTGTCCCTACCTGTTTGTCTGTCAGTCCTGACATGACCACAGGAGCTACTAATTACACAATTATTAGAGTATTATACTGGTTGCATTTATGAAAGGATTCAGAAACACTGGTTAAACAGACTTGAGTGCTGGAAGTGAAAAATAGAGCCTGTGCTCTGAAGGAGTGGTGGAGATATGTAGCAGTTTTTGAACTGTAGCTTGGGCACACCTTTGGCAAGACAGTAAGGGAGTGAGTGATGGTAAAAGTGTTTCTTCTTTTTTGGGTTACCCTGCCTCAGTGGAATTTGGCTGATGTGTTAATAAAAAAAACATACTGGTTGGTAAAGTGACATAAATGCAGTTATGTGGAAGCCTTTATTAGTGAGATTTTTTCCACTACTAGCTGATCACATATGCACCATCTTCACCACTAATACTAGCTGGTCACACGTTTACCATCTTCACCGCTACTACCAGCTGATCACACGTTTATCATTTTCACATCTACTACTAGCTGGTCACACGTTTACCATCTTCACCACTACTACTATTTGATCACATGTTTACCATCTTCACAACTACTACTAGCTGGTCACATGTTTACCATCTTCACAACTACTACTAGCTGGTCACATGTTTACCATCTTCACACTACTACTAGCTGGTCACGTTTATCTTACCAATGCTTCACAACCTAACTACTAGCTGGTCACAGTTTACCATCTTCACAACTACTACTAGCTGGTCCACATTTACCATCTTCACCACTACTACTAGCTGGTCACACGTTCCCTATCTTCCCACATTACTAGTCCTGAATCTCGCACATAGTGCCACTTCACCTCTTCACCACTACTAGCTGATCACACATTTGCCATCTTCACATCTACTACTAGCTGGTCACACATTTACCATCTTCACCACTACTACTAGCTGGTCATACGTTCATGATCTTCCCCACTATTACTAACTGGTCACACATGAACTGTCTTCGGCACTACTAGCTGGTCACACGTTTACCATCTTCACCACTACTAGCTGATCACACATTTGCCATCTTCACATCTACTACTAGCTGGTCACACATTTACCATCTTCACCACTACTACTAGCTGGTCACACGTTCATGACTTCCCCACATTTCTACTGATCACACATTGCATCTTCACATCTACTACTAGCTGGTCACACATTTACCATCTTCACCACTACTAGCTGATCACACATTTGCCATCTTCACATCTACTACTAGCTGGTCACACATTTACCATCTTCACCACTACTACTAGCTGGTCATACGTTCATGATCTTCACCACTATTACTAACTGGTCACACATGAACTGTCTTCGCCACTACTAGCTGGTCACACTTACCATCTTCGCCACTACTAGCTGTCACACTTTTCATCTTCCTTTACTAGCTGGTCACATTTTACCATCTTCACCACTGCTACTAGCTGTCACTAATTCATGATCTTCACCAATAGTTACAACTGGTCACACATTCTAGTCTTCACTACTACTAGTGTCACACGTTCACCTTTTTACTAGCTGGTCACGCCATCTTCACCACTACTAGCTGGTCACACAATTCAACCAACTTCACACACACTACTACACTAGGATCAATATTCACCATCTTCACTACTACTACTACTAGCTGGTCACACATTCACCAATTCACCACTACCATAGCTGGTCACATCATTCACCATCTCACTACACTATCATAGCTGGTCACACATTCACTATCTCACCACTACAGTAACTGGTCACACCTTCACCATCTCAACCACTTCACTAGCTGGTCCCCATTTTTACCTTCATTATACTTGGCAACTCCCCCATTGTCAATGCATATAGCTGTCAGCATTTTTTAACCATTTGTTATTTCCAATTTATGCAAAAACTTGTCAGTAACTGCATTTGTGCCATTAAACTGTCTATATAGTGAGTTAACTGTCACCTATCATTAGAGTACTGTAGTAGTTACTGACAACATGATTAGTATAGAGCAATAAATACTCTTATTGATAACTTTTAATATTTTTAAAAACAATGGCTGTCTCCAACCAAGGCTGGGTGGCTCAGATATAAATAAGGATGCAGTCACCATATTTCATTCATTCGCAGTCTTACTACAAGTGTGCTGATAACACAGTTCAGATAACTTTTCAAACTGCAACATCCTCACCCCTCCACTCACCCTGATTATTATTATCATTATTATTATTACTGACACATTGGTGATCTTGCACTGAGGTAAGGTGGCCCCGCCAAAAAGCAAATGCATTTTTATAGCCATTATTTCAATAGTCTGAATTGGGCAGACATCACTATTCAAATTACTTCAAACTGCAACATCCCCAATCCTCCTCTTGAGTGCAGGCACTGTACTACCTACCTCCAGGACTTGAGTATGGCTCACTGTTAACCTGAATCCCTTTATAAATGCTATCCTGCTCACATTCCAAAAGCATGTCATGCCATGAGAACCACTTTTCTACACTCACTGCTATCTAATACAAGCCTGCTGGTGCTCAAGACCATAGCACTCCAAACCTCCTCTAACCCCTCCTTCAATCCCTTCCTAGAATGACTATTTCTTCCTTTCACCCCAGCTCTACACACCCTCGTGGTCATGTTTTTCTTCACCAGATTTAAATGCCTAAACCACCTCTATAACCTCTCCTCAGTCCTCTAAATTTGACCTTAGGTGACCTCATATTGCCATTTAATTTCTACACTCCATATTCTCTACATAATATTCACACCAAACATTGCTCCAGCCTCTTTCTTGATGCAACATTGAAAGCACATGCCTCACCACCATATACAAGTGTTGTTATCATTATAGTCTAGCACATTTTTCTTTTTGCTTCTATAAACTTCTCTCCTGAGGGAACCACAAGTAGGTAAGCACACCACCTACATTTTTTTCCCTATCTATTCTATGGTTCACCTCATTATTCACTGACTCATTTGCTGGTAACTTCCAAATATCTTAAAACATTCACTTCTGTTATATGCCCTCCCTATTTCTGAATTAATGCTTTCAGAGTCCGTGTTTTAGTGCTACGTAATGAGCTCAGCTCACTTAAGCTGTGAGCAGTGAATTTGGGACTAAATATGAAAAAAAAAAAAAAAAAAAAAAAAAAAAAAAAAAAAAAACCAATACCGTGACTGGAACAATACACAAATAACCCACACATAGAAGAGAGGAGCTTACGATGACGTTTCGGTCTGACTTTGACCATTTACAAAGTAAATGGTCCAAGTTGGATCATTTACTAAATATGACAGAATGGGTTAATGCAGTAAGTGTGCACCATATAAAAAATCTTGCAGCACACAGTGCATGATGAGGAAAAAATATCCGTGACCACGTTTTTTATTTAAAACAGAAACTCTGTGGTGTATTTTCATATGGTTTTTATGCTTGTATTCTTGGTCTCATTTAATAGAATGGAGGATATATTACAGAAATAGTGATGAGTTTGAGGGTTTTGAGGATTCAAAATAGTTTGAAATTGAGCTCAAATTAGTGGAAATGTTCGATATTTGCTGATTTTTAAGAATAAACAACCCATGTCACGCATCCAATACACTTCAACTGGTGGGTCTAATGACTCTTAATGTGTTAACAAATGTGCTGATATTATTTTTTGTGCAAATACAAATTTTTGGTGAATAAAAAATCAAAATATAATTTATATGTAAAGCCTGGAAACGTAACTAGTGAACAGAGGAAATGTTATTTTAGTGCCAGGAATGCCTGCATGGTTTATTCTGGACACTATTTTGAAATTGGAATATTTTGAAATCTGTGTCAAATTGGCAAAATTACCAATTTCTGATCACTTTATTGGTCAGAATTAGCTGATTGGGCAGTTTCTTGTGCTCAATTGATAAAATAGAAGGTATACTAGCGAAATGGATAAGAATTTTGTCATCTGGAACAATGTAACTGGCCTATAATGAGACTCAAGTTGGGCAAAAATTGCCGATGCGTAAATATCGATGACACAGTAAAATTTGCGAAAGCATAAATTCATCAATTTTCCATTAACCCTTTCAGGGTTTTTGACGTACTAGTACGGCTTACACACTAAGGTTTTTGACGAATACGCCTAAATTCTAGCGCCCTCAAATAGTGAGAGAAAGCTGGTAGGACTACATATGAAAAAATGGGTCTATGTGGTCAGTGTGCGCAGTATAAAAAAAAAATCCTGCAGCACAGTGCGTAATGAGAATAAAAACTGAGTGTTTTTGGTTTAAAACAGCGACTTTGCACTGTATTTTCATATAGTATTTATGGTGGTATTCTAGTTTTCCTGGTCTCATTTTATAGAATGGAAGACATATTACAGAAATTGAGATGATTTTGACTGGTTTTGCAATGAAAAGTACCTTGAAATTGAGCTCAAAGTAGCAGAAATCTTTGATTTTTGCCAAAGTTCAAAAGTAAACAAATCATGCTACGCGTTCAATACACGTCAATTGGCGAGTCTAATATTCTTTCACAAGTGCGCTGATAATATTTATACCATTTCTACACTAATGCAGTAGTCTGCATAACAGTAAATCTTTCCATTTTTTGTGAGAATAAAAATTCAAAGTGGAAAGCAAAAGAATGTAAGAGGGGCCTGGGGATGTGACTAATGAACAGAGTTAGTTAGTTTAATATGTTTATTATGCACCCCATACCCATCCTGTGGGCGGTAGTACACAGAGGAAATGTTATTTTAGTGCCAGGAATGTCTTACTTGTTTATTCTGGACCCTATTTGGAAATTGGCATCTTTTGAAATTTGTGTGAAATTGGCAAAATTGCTAAATTCTGACCACTTTATTGGATAGTTGAAATTGGTAAATGGGTGGTTTCTTGTACTCGTTCGATAGAAAAAATGGAGTTCTAGCAAAATAGTTATGATTTTTGTCGACTAGTACACTGGAATTGGCTGAAAATAGGGATCAAATTGGGCAAAATTGCCGATGCGTAAACATCGTCGAGACCGCTAACTTCGTGAGAGCATAATTCCGGAAGTTTTCCATCAAATTTCATACTTTTGGTGTCATTATGATTGGGAAAAGATTCTCTATCTTTTCATAAGAATTTTTTTTTTTTTTTTTTTGAAAATTTGTCGACCCTGAGAACAAGTCTGGAAGAGGGCCTGTCGACCCTGAAAGAGTTAAATTTCATACTTTTTGTTTTATTACCTTCAGAAAAAAATTCTTTACCATTTCATAAGAAAAAATAAGATTTTTTTTTAAATACCTGAATCCATGGACAAGTTTCAGATCATGGGTCTGGACCCTAAAAGGGTTAATCAAAAAATGCTAAGGCCACATGGCTCACAAACACTGCACTAACATTTAGAGATAATTCAGGAAATGAACCTCAACTGATGACATATAAAGCAGCTTGTTACATGTATATATTGAAATCTTTAGAACTAATCTGGTATGTATATAGGTATAAGACTGAAACTTGCACTTGCTTTTAACAAACACTGAATTGGCTAACTAAATATAATAAAACTATCTTGAATTATTATTCAAAACCATCCATCACGGTTCCAAACATGACTATGTTTAATAATACAGATATGATAATGAAACTCAATCCTAACTTATCATTAATGTACAAAGTGTAAATATGTTATACTTTACGGTAATTCTCAGAAAGGTAAATATTTTACTCTACTGTACAAACTGTATAAATAACATTACACTCTGCTTACTTTTGATTCTCATGCACCTACTCTCCTCCTGTTGTTTCTTCAACAGGATGAAAATCCAATGGGGTTTCTAACAGGTCCAGTGGAGAGTCTGCACACACCACTGTAAAAATCTAAGTTTTATTTTACAGCACACAACATTCACTTGAACCTATTATAATATTGAGATACTGTATCTTTTAGGGCAATTACATACTGTTTAAATAGTACCCACATTACAGCTAACCTTTACTGTCATCTGAGTGAATTAGTTGAACTTGTGTGATAGCAACTAGTTTTGAATCACCTTTCAATAAGTATAATCTAAGGAAATCAATCAATGTTACTATCCTTTTTTCAATATGTACTATATTATTTAGTATATACATCATGAAGCTTTTACTTTCACTGCTTATATCTATATTCAAAGCATAATTGAAGAATGTACAAAAATGTCAATGTAAGAAGCAAAACAAATTTTGTAGAAACAAAATTTTACAATTATTATATTATATGCAAAGTTAAAAAGTACTGAGGTAAAAAATGCATGGTCATATTTTGAAATACAGAAAATGGATCAAATACTGGAGTACAGTCCAGCTTTGTGCACAAGACTGACAACTAATTTTTTTTGTTTTTTTGCCAAAAAGGCTTCAATTTTTCATAAATCTCATGTAAAAGTTTACCTTAGTTTCTGAGGGACAATAAAATTTGAGACTGAAAGTACTGAACTGTATTGTTATTATGCTTCGTAAAAAAAAAAACAAAAAAAGTATTCTCCAAATTTAATCTTTTCTTTTTTTTTAGCCTAAAAGAACACACCAATAACGTACTACAACTCAAGTGTCTTATCTCACACTTGTTGGTGTTTGAAACCATCTCTTACTCTTAAAAGCAAAAACAAGAGCTTATGTAGTGTTGGAGTTCCTCTATCAAGGTCAGATGTGCAGCATGGCTTGATATATGAAAAAATAGTCTGTTAAGAATAGAGGAGCACTGCACTAGGCCAGTATGAAGTAGGAATTACTTTTCACGCCCATTCTCATTCATTTGCAGCTCTGTTGCCAAACCAGTGTTTATTTATATAAGAAGAAAGGAGTACTACATATATATTAGTCCTACCAGCCCATATTAGGTAGGTCTTACTCTTGCCATTCAAATGCATATAAATTACCAAACTGTTGCTTACATAATAAAACAGGAACACTGCAGTAGACCCATGCTAGACGGGCTCTAATTTTCCCAATCATCCCCTCTTATATACAGAAGGGCCCAGCATACACAGCACCCTCTTCTTGGTGTTCCATGTTTTTGTTGGCTTTCAACAGAGCCATTGTTCATTATGTTTGTTGCTTTTGACACTTTCGCACAACAGCTGTGTGAAGGAAGGGCGACCAGCACCATATTTTAAAGTAGTTATTATATGTACTGTGTATGTATTTTATCTGTCTTTAATTTCCTAGCTGTATGGAGCACTGAATACATGACAATGTAAACATGTTATGAGGTGTTTTAGATGCATTCAATAATGAAAAACCAATTTTTTTTTTTCTTCCACCCACCGGTGATGTTAGCTTACCCTAAGAGGTCAGGAAGCTAGGAGCCAAACAAATGGGGCCCTCCTGTACAACTACTGTCAAACTACTGCTTTCCTTGTAATCAAGGATTTGTATACTCAGATCACACCCACCAAAGAGAATCCTGCAGACAGCTGTTTCAATACTGGTATGAATGCAGGCTGTGGGTCAGGTAATATCCTGAATGATTTTAGAGATGACAAGTACATAACTTAAGAATTTGCAGTCCCGAATTTCTCAACTTAGAATATAATACAATCACTAATGCCTTTGTGAAACTAAGAGTTCATATTTATTTTACCTTAGACTGGTAATGCAAAGCACAGTGTATTCTCCAAACACTCCAAAACTAACAACAGCAGCTCATCCTTCTAATTAGTAATGCAGCCAACCAAATTCCAATATCCAGCCACAAGAGTGGCATCCACAATGCAATGTCACTCCTAGATTCGAATGGGCAGTTACGAGATCCATTATCCACAGCCATACCAATACTAAAATGGGCATCCACTGAATTCCCAAAGGTGGATGTAGCAGAACATACAACGGTGAGATTGCACTAAGCACTTTTTTTTTCTTTTTAGCCTCAATGGCTATGTCCTGCCAAGGCAGGGTGAGCAATCCTCTGCCAAACAAATCATCAATTATTTTATTGCTGTCTTTCCAGAAATGTGATGACATCACAATTCAGACTAACCTGACTGCATATCTATCCTAAATGAAACTCAAAACGATGGATTCAAATTTGATAAATTCAAAATTCAATAATAATATAATCAGACTAAATGCTAAATCCAGAAGGGTCATTCAGATTTCTAAAGGAAAGCACTGATATGGCAGTCAAGTTTTAGTTCAATTTTCAAGTGAAGTGTCACATCAACAAGGCTGTGAAGGTCATACAGGCCAATGAGCTATCAACAGCAACAACCTGGTTGAATAGGCAATCAACAGAAAAGTCTTGCCCCAAGCTGAACTGCAAGGATTGTTATTATAAACAAAACTAAGCACTAAACCCACAAGAGTGGACTGTAAGGATAAAAAAAAAAAACTTTTGAAGCCAGTCACAGGTATATCACAGGAGCAGATCTGCAAAATAGCATCATTAAGCAAATACTTTAGGGGTAGCAGTAATGTTAAATGATCAGTTATGGAAGGAGAAAAGAGAATATGAATGTGTAAATTCAAGAATTATGTGGATTAAAGTAAAGGTTGGATGCGAGAAGTGGGTCATAATAAGCGTGTATGCACCTGGAGAAGAGAGGAATGCAGAGGAGAGAGAGAGATTTTGGGAGATGTTAAGTGAATGTATAGGAGCCTTTGAACCAAGTGAGAGAGTAATTGTGGTAGGGGACTTGAATGCTAAAGTAGGAGAAACTTTTAGAGAGGGTGTGGTAGGTAAGTTTGGGGTGCCAGGTGTAAATGATAATGGGAGCCCTTTGATTGAACTTTGTATAGAAAGGGGTTTAGTTATAGGTAATACATATTTTAAGAAAAGAGGATAAATAAGTATACACGATATGATGTAGGGCGAAATGACAGTAGTTTGTTGGATTATGTATTGGTAGATAAAAGACTGTTGAGTAGACTTCAGGATGTACATGTTTATAGAGGGGCCACAGATATATCAGATCACTTTCTAGTTGTAGCTACACTGAGAGTAAAAGGTAGATGGGATACAAGGAGAATAGAAGCATCAGGGAAGAGAGAGGTGAAGGTTTATAAACTAAAAGAGGAGGCAGTTAGGGTAAGATATAAACAGCTATTGGAGGATAGATGGGCTAATGAGAGCATAGGCAATGGGGTCGAAGAGGTATGGGGTAGGTTTAAAAATGTAGTGTTAGAGTGTTCAGCAGAAGTTTGTGGTTACAGGAAAGTGGGTGCAGGAGGGAAGAGGAGCGATTGGTGGAATGATGATGTAAAGAGAGTAGTAAGGAGAAAAAGTTAGCATATGAGAAGTTTTTACAAAGTAGAAGTGATGCGAGGAGGGAAGAGTATATGGAGAAAAAGAGAGAAGTTAAGAGAGTGGTGAAGCAATCTAAAAAGAGAGCAAATGAGAGAGTGGGTGAGATGTTATCAACAAATTTTGTTGAAAATAAGAAAAAGTTTTGGAGTGAGATTAACAAGTTAAGAAAGCCTAGAGAACAAATGGATTTGTCAGTTAAAAATAGGAGAGGAGAGTTATTAAATGGAGAGTTAGAGGTATTGGGAAGATGGAAGGAATATTTTGAGGAATTGTTAAATGTTGATGAAGATAGGGAAGCTGTGATTTCGTGTATAGGGCAAGGAGGAATAACATCTTGTAGGAGTGAGGAAGAGCCAGTTGTGAGTGTGGGGGAAGTTCGTGAGGCAGTAGGTAAAATGAAAGGGGTAAGGCAGCCGGGATTGATGGGATAAAGATAGAAATGTTAAAAGCAGGTGGGGATATAGTTTTGGAGTGGTTGGTGCAATTATTTAATAAATATTATGGAAGAGGGTAAGGTACCTAGGGATTGGCAGAGAGCATGCATAGTTCCTTTGTATAAAGGCAAAGGGGATAAAAAAGAGTGCAAAAATTATAGGGGGATAAGTCTGTTGAGTGTACCTGGTAAAGTGTATGGTAGAGTTATAATTGAAAGAATTAAGAGTAAGACGGAGAATAGGATAGCAGATGAACAAGGAGGCTTTAGGAAAGGTAGGGGGTGTGTGGACCAGGTGTTTACAGTGAAACATATAAGTGAACAGTATTTAGAAAAGGCTAAAGAGGTCTTTGTGGCATTTATGGATTTGGAAAAGCCGTATGACAGGGTGGATAGGGGGGCAATGTGGCAGATGTTGCAAGTGTATGGTGTAGGAGGTAGGTTACTGAAAGCAGTGAAGAGTTTTTACGAGGATAGTGAGGCTCAAGTTAGAGTATGTAGGAAAGAGGGAAATTTTTTCCCAGTAAAAGTAGGCCTTAGACAAGGATGTGTGATGTCACCGTGGTTGTTTAATATATTTATAGATGGGGTTGTAAGAGAAGTAAATGCGAGGGTCTTGGCAAGAGGCGTGGAGTTAAAAGATAAAGAATCACACACAAAGTGGGAGTTGTCACAGCTGCTCTTTGCTGATGACACTGTGCTCTTGGGAGATTCTGAAGAGAAGTTGCAGAGATTGGTGGATGAATTTGGTAGGGTGTGCAAAAGAAGAAAATTAAAGGTGAATACAGGAAAGAGTAAGGTTATGAGGATAACAAAAAGATTAGGTGATGAAAGATTGAATATCAGATTGGAGGGAGAGAGTATGGAGGAGGTGAACGTATTCAGATATTTGGGAGTGGACGTGTCAGCGGATGGGTCTATGAAAGATGGGGTGAATCATAGAATTGATGAGGGAAAAAGAGTGAGTGGTGCACTTAGGAGTCTGTGGAGACAAAGAACTTTGTCCTTGGAGGCAAAGAGGGGAATGTATGAGAGTATAGTTTTACCAACGCTCTTATATGGGTGTGAAGCGTGGGTGATGAATGTTGCAGCGAGGAGAAGGCTGGAGGCAGTGGAGATGTCATGTCTGAGGGCAATGTGTGGTGTGAATATAATGCAGAGAATTCGTAGTTTGGAAGTTAGGAGGAGGTGCGGGATTACCAAAACTGTTGTCCAGAGGGCTGAGGAAGGGTTGTTGAGGTGGTTCGGACATGTAGAGAGAATGGAGCGAAACAGAATGACTTCAAGAGTGTATCAGTCTGTAGTGGAAGGAAGGCGGGGTAGGGGTCGGCCTAGGAAGGGTTGGAGGGAGGGGGTAAAGGAGGTTTTGTGTGCGAGGGGCTTGGACTTCCAGCAGGCATGCGTGAGCGTGTTTGATAGGAGTGAATGGAGACAAATGGTTTTTAATACTTGACGTGCTGTTGGAGTGTGAGCAAAGTAACATTTATGAAGGGATTCAGGGAAACCGGCAGGCCGGACTTGAGTCCTGGAGATGGGAAGTACAGTGCCTGCACTCTGAAGGAGGGGTGTTAATGTTGCAGTTTAAAAACTGTAGTGTAAAGCACCCTTCTGGCAAGACAGTGATGGAGTGAATGATGGTGAAAGTTTTTCTTTTTCGGGCCACCCTGCCTTGGTGGGAATCGGCCGGTGTGATAATAATAAAAAATAATAATAAGGTGAGCTTGGCAGAAAGTTGGGTCTACCTAACATGGGCCAGTAGTTCTACTGCAGTGTTCTTCTATTGTTTTTATATCTTTATATATGAATAAAAACAAGTGTCTGGCAGAAGTTGTAAACAAGTGAAATGTGTGACTATGGGCTGGACCTCTCTAGCATGGTCAGTAGGCCTATTGTAGTGCTAATCTAGTCCTATGTTTTTCAGTACATACATCACATATTGATTTCAACCCTTTAAAAGTATTATTTATGAATATGTTAACTCCTCTATTTTTTTGGCCCCAAAACTTGACCTTAAAACCTTGATATATACCATATTTGAGTATATATGATAGACAGATTTCTCAAGAATCGCTAAAATGACTTAGTGCTTTTGGAATCACATTTATCTTTCAGACTTGTTTTATAAATTTTCTTTCACTTGTACAAAACAATATAAAGTCAGGAGGTCGTTATTCACTATTATTTTTAAAGAAAGTAACACATATAATGTGTCATACTTTAGATCAAAATCATTCAAGCTCTTCAAAATTTTGTGTATTTATTCTACATTCATTTGAACACAATACTGGGTTTATTTTACAATTACAAGAAAGCATTATGGCAAATAATTTAGGATTAAATGTTATTTTCTCTGTAAAAATGGAAGGAAGTTCATTTTTTTTTTTAACACGTTGGCCATTTTCCACTGAGGCAGGGCGACCCAAAAAGAAAGAAAAACCAAAAAAGGAAAGAAAAAACTTTCATTATCATTCAACACTTTCACCATCACTCACACATAATCACTGACTTTGCAGAGGCACTCAGATATGACAATTCAGACATTACTCTAAACTGCCAATATCCCTAACTCCTTCTTTAAAGTGCAGGCATTGTACTTCCCAATTCCAGGACTCAAGTCCGGCTAACAAGACCATTTGCTGTTATGACGACATAAATCAACATCTTACAAACGCTGGTAAAACAGAGCCAGGAGAAATAAGAAATATTCCACAGGCACACAATGTTACCATCTTGTTGGGTTTGCTCTTGAGTTTTCTAGCAACTAAGTATGTACCAGTGTTCACGCTGCAACCTACTGAACACTTAGGATGTAAGTTACATTCTTGACAAGAGGCAATATTAGTAGTATCTCCTTGCTTTTAGCAGTGAATTTTTAAAAACTCATGAAAATAAAACAGTAGTTTCTGTACATAGAAAATAACAATCTTCTTCCTATTTGCATGTGGTATAAACTTTCGGTTTCCATGTTCATCCTAAAGAAGCACATGCACCTAAATAAATTTATATGGATATACACAAAGGAAATAGCTACAAAACTACATTAGTCTTAACAAGTGGCTATTAATGATTTCCTGTGCAACCAGTCATGATAAGATTATTCCTATAAAAGTAATGCACAAATAATGTAAGTAATAATGTGATCCAACAGACAATTAACAGTAGTAGTGTTATGTTACAAAGAAGTTACACAAACACTAACTGATCCATACTGCATTACTACAACTATTTAGTTCACTGATTCATCTCATGTTCACAATACAGCTGTAAATGAATTCCTACATAATCAGCTGTGAAAGCATTTCAGAAGAAATGGTCTGTTATATTTCTTGTCTTGTACCAGAGCAGTATGAGAATTGATAGTACATTTAAACCATCACCAGAAAAATTTCCTGCAGAACACAAATTATGAGCATCTTTTTTTTTCAGGGAAGTCAAATACAGCAGACAGAATACAAACATACATTATATACCTCACTCACATCCACTCACACTCGCAAGATCTCAAGACACTTGTTGTAGCATATTGCAATCCAGTCTGGCTGTGTTGCACCCCACTGGATCTGGTTTATTTCTCCTTCTGCTGCAGTGTAGGCTAATATTGGGTCTTCTATTGCTCGAGGCATCTGCTGTACATCCCATATTAGTGCTTGATGATCATCACCTAGAGGGAAGTGTTCATATTACATAATGAAACTTACTGCCTTAAGAATAATTTACAGTGACAAATATTAAGTGTTTTACAGCAGATACTTATAGTGGGTGGCCTTACTGTTACATACAAGACCAATATTGTCAATGTACCACACACTGACAATATCAGCAAGAAGTGAGCTTCTACACAACAAGACGGGCAGCAAGCAGCACCTACATAATAACTGTCCCCTTCTCCAGAACATCACTTCATCTGAGATATTTATTCCTAGGATGACTCAAGTCAGGAACATGTTCATACAGCATAATGACATCAAAATAAAGATAGTTGACTAAATAAAATCACTGGCCCAAGGATAGCTCCAATGTCATCCTGTTCCCTTTTTGTATATTTCTTAACAATAAAAAGGCTTTCCTAGGTAGTAGGTTGGTAAACAGCAACCGCCCAGGGAGGTACTACCATCCTGCCAAGTGAGTGTAGAATGAAAACGTGTAATTGTTTTACATGATGGTAGGATTGCTGGTGTCTTTTGTCTGTCTCATAAACATGCAAGATTTCAGGTATGTCTTGCTACTTCTATTTGCACTTAGGTCACACTACACATACATGTACAAGCAAATATATACACACCCCTCTGAGCTTTCTTCTATTTTCTTTCTAGTTCTTGTTCTTGTTTATTTCCTCTTATCTCCATGGGTAAGTGAAACAGAATTCTTCCTCCATAAGCCATGCGTGTTGTAAGAGGCGACTAAAATGCCGGGAGCAAGGGGCTAGTAACCCCTTCTCCCGTATAAATTACCAAAAAAAGAGAAACTTTCGTTTTTCTTTTTGGGCCACCCTGCCTTGGTGGAAAGAAGAAAAGAAAAAGGCTTTCAAATGAGTTGATGTGGGTAACAGCTCTAACCTTGTAAATAAAGTTAGGAACCTTAACCTAACCTTGTAAAACCCTGTGTTAAAAAAATAAAAGGAGAAAGAGTGAGTGAGAGAGAACGAGAGCATGAGACCATCAATATGACTTCAGAAAAGGTTACTCTGCTACTGATCTGGTGTTAAACCTCTCCCCTTAGTGGCACATGACAGTGGATGAATCCAGAGTCAGATGTGTAGTGGCACTGACATTGCCAGTGCTTTCAGCCGAGTATGGCACCAGGGCTTCATGGTAAAACTGCAAGCACAGGGAAATGCAGGATCTACACTATGTCTCCTTAATGATTACCTTCTAAGTGTAGTTTTCAATAGGACAGAGTCAGCTAGACATCCCATTGGTTCAAGTGTTCCACAGGAAGTATGCTTAGGCCACTGTTATGGACAGTCTACTTCTATGACCTTCTTCATCTCATCCAAGAATCATATGCATATGAAGATCACTGTACTCTGACATTTACTTATACAAAAGAGGAAATGCCAGCTACTCTAAGTTACATCAATCACCAGCTTACAGCTACATCAGCCTGGGCAAAATGGTGGCAGGTCACATTAGCTCCTGAGAAAATACAAATGATGATGGTCTCTATGCACTATGATGGTAATGCTGGAGCAATGGTAAAAATGACTGGGAAAGTACTGGTACCCATGGATGAAGTTAATATCCTTGGGGTGAAATTTGACTCCAAACTCACCATGAAAAAACCATGCTATAAATCTTGCCAGGAAGCATACAGCACTTAGACGTATCTCATATCTGCTTGACAGTAGAGATTGTAATATTCTGCGTGAGGCACGAGTATACTCACACCTAGAGTTGCTCCACAACGTTGGATTGCCTGCCCTCCATCCCATATGCAACTTCTTGACAAAACAGAGAACAAAGCAAGGCAGTTCATCTCTTGTCTGGACCCAGCCTGGACAGATCTGTCATTGCAGCAGAGTCTTCAACACAGGAGGGATGTGTGTGTGGCCTTATTGTTATGTACAAGGCCAATACTGTCAAAGTACCACACTGGGCTCCACTCTGAGGACAGCAAGGAGCTTCTACACAACAAGACAGGAAGCAAACAGCAACTACACTCTTGACTGTACCCTTCACCAGAACATCATTTCATCTGCAATCATTTATTCCTAGGATGACTCAAGTTTGTACAGCATAATGACATCAAAATAAAGTCAGCTGACCAAATGAAACTCCCAGCCTACAGATGGCTTCAACTTCATCCTGTTCCCCTATATGTATGTTTTATAACTATGAAAAGAGTTTCATATGATCTGATGTGGGTAACAGCTCTTAGCTTATAAATAAAGTCAGAAACCTGAACCTAGCCTTGTAAAATCCTGTGTCAAGAGAGAGAGACAGACAGAGACAACAGACAGTGAGATAACAGAGACAGATAACAGAGAGACAGACAACAGAGACAGAGAGACTGAAAACAGACAGACAGACAGATTGACAACAGAGACAGAGAGACAGATAACAGAGACACACACACACACAAACAGACAGACACAGACAAATACACAAACAGAAAAACAGACAGACAGATAGACACTCTGGAGAGTAAAGTAACAGAGGCATTATCCATACATAGTTTTAAGAAGAGGTTCGTCTGATAAGGCTCTTGGAGCTGGGAGAGAGTGGACCTAGAAGTGAGCAGCAAAGCAGGGCCAAAAGCTGACTTGACCCCTGCAACCACATATAGGTGAGTACACACAGACACAGACACACACAGGTTGGGTGAGTGTATCAACATCACAGTTTAGAAGACCCTCTGAACGGGCCATTTTCAGGCTGACACAAAAATGTGAAATATAACATCCTCCAGAGTACAAAAACTGTACCTCCCACTTTAACTGGAAGTGCACTGCAATTTAAAATCTCATCATGAACACATATTTTAATCTTCATTATTAATTTGGAAAATAATAAAAGTTGAAAGCACATTTACACAAGTCCTCAAATAAGTAATTGTATGGCATTTCCAATTCTTGTGATATTAAAAGACCATCACCACAATGTAAGTGAATTATCACTGAAAAAAAAAAAAATCATATAATCTGGTAAACACAAATCTTATATTTGTTATCTGTGTGATGGAGGACCTTCTTATTCTCAATTGGTAAACTAGTCAAGTATGATAAAAGAAACACTATATAAAATATTATTTTACAAAAATTTAAAAAAGACCTACCAGCAGTACAAATGTGTACAGATGAGTGTGGGGCCCATGCTATACCATTTACACATGCTCGATGGTTGTTTAATCTAGCAACAGGCGTACATGGAACTCGTACATCTAAAATAATCACCTGTAAATGAAAGATATAAAAATTAAACCAATATTGAATATAGTTTTTAAAGAAATAATGAGAAAGATGCATTTGGGTAAAGTGCTAATAATCTTGGGAGAATTCTCCAGTATTGGAATCTGTAAAGCCAATAATAAAGTGATCTGTGCCCAGTGTAAGGACAACACAGTATCTGCTCACCATAATAAAATGAAAAGTTTTCCCCTCCACACCTCTTAAAAACCTTGTCAATAATTTATGAAGTCATAAAAATTCATTACACACAACAGGCATCACCTACAGCAATTTTATTTTACTATCAGCTGAGATTTACTCTCTCTCTCTAGAAATTAATCAGTTTTCTGACTCAATGCATCAGACAAGTTTAAAACAAATTGGCCAGTTAATTAAAGTTCCACTTTTACTCAATCATAATTACTAAATTGCTTCTTGAGTTACTGTGTTTGTAACCTTACACAACTAGCCAATCTATTTTGAGCTACTTTTCTCACATCCAGAGACACACAACACTTATTTGTTAATTTACATATTTAACCCTTTCAGGGTTTCGGCCGTACTAGTACGGCTTACACCCCAGGGTTTTTGACGTACTAGTACGCCTAAATTCTAGTGCCCTCAAATCTAGTGAGAGAAAGCTGGTAGGCCTACATATGAAAGAATGGGTCTATGTGGTAAGTGTGCGCAGTATAAAAAAAATCCTGCAGCACACAGTGCGTAATGAGAGAAAAAAAACTTTGACCGTGTTTTTAGATTAAAATAGTGACTTTGCACTGCATTTTCCTATGGTATTTATGGTTGTATTCTAGTTTTCCTGGTCTCATTTTATAGAATGGAAGACATATTACAGAAATTGAGATGATTTTGACTGGTTTTACAATGAAAAGTACCTTGAAATTGAGCTCAAAGTAGCAGAAATGTTCAATTTTTACCGAAGTCCAAAAGTAAACAAATCATGCCAAGCGTTCAATACACATCAACTGGTGAGTCTAATGTTCTTTCACAAGTGCGCTGATATTATTTATACCATTTCTACACTAATGCAGTAGTCTGCATAACAGTAAATCTTCTATTTTTTGTAAGAATAAAAATTCAAAGTGGAAAGCCAAAGAAATATAAGAGGGGCCTGGGGATGTGACTAACGAACAGAGAACTTGTTATTTTAGTGCCATGAATGTCTTTCTTGTTTATTCTGGACCCTATTCGGAAATTGGCATCTTTTGAAGTTTGTGTGAAATTGGCAAAATTGCTAAATTCTGACCACTTTACTGAATAGTTGAAATCGGTAAATGGGTGGTTTTTTGTACTCATTCGATAGAAAAAATGGAGTTCTAGCGAAATAGTTATGATTTCTGTTGACTAGTACACTGGAATTGGAAGTGTAAGTAGAAGTAGCAAGACATACCTGAAATCTTGTATGTTTATGAGACAGAGAAAAAGACACCAGCAATCCTACCATCATGTAAAATAAATACAGGCTTCTGTTTTACACTCACTTAGCAGGACAGTAGTGATTGCTGTCTACCAGCCTACTACCTAGGATTACAATAAATGTAAAAAAAAAAAAAAAAAAAAAAAAAAAAAAAAAAAAAAAAAAAAAAAAAAAAAAAAAAAAAAAAAAAAAAAAAACTACAATATGCAGAATTTCTATCCTAGAAATGTAAAATGTGAGAAGAAATGTGATATTTGTTGATCATTCTTAGTGTAGGAGTTAGAAAGTTTTTGAGAGAACTCAGTTGTTAGTATGCAGTTACTACCACACACTCAAGTGAGATAGAAATATTCAAGTGAGATAGGAACATGCCAGTAACAATATGACTATACTCTTGAAACTAGCTCAAACTGAATTAAAAACACTAACCACCGTATGTAGCTGCCCTCTAAGAGGGCAGCTACAACGGAGAAGCCCCTAAGCTGTTATATCTAAACATTCCTTCAAGCCTGTTAATTTCCTTTATACTGTATCAACTTTCATGTATGTATTCAATTCCTTATCTTTTAATCCCTAATCTCTACCTAACATTTACTTCTTTTACAATCCATCAAAAAATATTTTAAGCAACCCTTGTGACATCATATATCCCTACATACCCTAACCTGAGCCTCACTATCCTCATAAAAAGCTCTTAATTGCTATAAGTAACCTACCACCTCTCCCATACACTTGCAACATCTACCATTATTACTCCTCTATCCATCCTACCATATGCCCTTTCTAAATCCATAAATGCAACAAAAATTTCCTTACCTTTATCTAAATACTGTTCACTTACATGCCTCAATGTAAATCCTTGATTTACACATCTACCCTTCCTAAAATCTTGTTCATCTATATTTCTGCTCTCCATCTTAAACTGAATTCTTTCAATAATAACTCTACCATACACTTTACCTGATATACTCAACTGGCTTATTTCCTTATAATTCTTATACACTCTTCTGTTCCCCTTTCCTAATACAAAGGAATTATGCATGCTATCTGCCAATCCCTAGGTACTTTACCCTCTTTCATACCTTTACTGAATAAAAATACCAACCGATCCAAAACTATAACCCTACCTGCTTTTGACATTTCTGTCATGATCTTATGAATACCAGCTTCTTTACCTCCTTTCATTTTACCCACTGTCTCACATAGCTCACCACCCTCACATCTGGTTCTTCCTCACTCCTAAGGAATGTTATACATCCCTGGCACCAATATACAGCCAATTAAACCACAAAAACCAACCTAATTAAACAAAATCTCCATTTTAACCCAAATATGCACACCCACTGCAGACCCATTCTCCTGTGTCTAAGTCAAAATTTGATGCTTACACTAAATTTGAGGGCACTTTGAATTTTGCATTGATTTATTGCACTAACAGTGACCCCAATGACATAGATCTAGGTGAGTGACAGTTAACTGGTTAATATACGCAGTAGTTCTTCAAGCTGAAGACAAATGTTTTTAAACAAAAATCCTCACTGACACACTAGATAAGAGTGACATTACCTCACATGCATCCATGGCTACAGTTGAAAGATAGTTAGGGTCTTGCTTATTCCAAGCTAGCCGTAACAGAGGTGTGTGTGCGGGATCTTCATAGATGATAGTAGAATGTTCCAAGTGTCGCAAGTCAAACATTCTTACTGAGCCATCAGCTCCTACGGAGAGAAAACCATTTGCATATATAGGAAAAGATAAAAAGACAAATTACCAAACAGTTAAATAAATATTTCTATATTTAATAACATACAGCCTCTCCTTACTTAATGATGGAGTTCCGTTCCTAAATGTCAGTAAACGAATTCGTCACTAAGTGAGAAGCAAACGACAATGGTAGTGGGCATGTGTCAACCATCTTTGATATTATTTTAATGTCACCTTTGCACCATTTATAATATTTCTGGTGTATTTTTAAATGTTTATACAGTAGTGTACTGTATATTGCAATAAACAGAACAGAAGAAATCAGCTCTAATATACATTACTTAGGTATGCACATTGGTCAGAAAGCCTGTCATAAGTTCGAGTCTTCAGTAAACGAGTACGTCGTTAAGTGAGGAGAGGCTGTATTTACATTTAGTAAACCATACCACGGGCGGGGCTTGAACCAGCAGTCAGAGAGTCGTAAAACTCCAGACTGACGCATCAGCCAGCTGACCCAGTGGCTAATGTGTCGGTCTGGAGTTTTACGACTCCATAACCATGGGTTCAAGCCCAGCCCATTGTATGGTTTGTTTGCAATTGCATCATTATGATTTCATGAGTTACTGTACATTTACTAGTATATTTTCTTACTGAACTATTTGACCTAATCATTTCCTTACTTTTATACTACACTTTCTTATAGTTATCAACCTAAATAACATACTTTCTTTATTGTGTGCAATAAGTGCACAGAAATAGCAATAACAAACAAACTTACCCACAGATGCAAACATGTCTCTCCCACCACCAGCTCTTGAAAAGGCAATGTCAAAAACTTCTTTGTCATGAGCTATTAGCTGTGTTTTCACATGGCCAGAGACTACATTGACTCTTCCCAACATCTGACCTGTCTCCAGTCCCCAGATGGTACATGTAGTGTCAATTGATGAGGTACCAATTAGATTTGGTTCTACTTCATTCCAATCAAAAGATGTAAGAGGAGCACAAAAGTCTGAGTTTTTATTCTGAAAATGTGAAAAGAAAAGTTTATAACAATGAGAGTAATATTTATCACAAAAATTCAGGGGGGGCAAACTGTTAAATAATGCATGAGTTTTTAACTACCTTGAAGGAAAATGGAGCATAAGGCAACTATCATAATTATTTTTTTTTTTCCAACAAGTTGGCCGTCTCCCACCGAGGCAGGGTGACCCAAAAAAGAAAGAAAATCCCCAAAAAGAAAATGCTTTCATCATCATTCAACACTTTCACCACACTCACACATAATCACTGTTTTTGCATAGGTGCTCAGAATACAACAGTTTAGAAGCATATACGTATAAAGATACACAACATATCCCTCCAAACTGCCAATATCCCAAACCCCTCCTTTAAAGTGCAGGCATTGTACTTCCCATTTCCAGGACTCAAGTCCGACTATATGAAAATAACCAGTTTCCCTGAATCCCTTCACTAAATATTACCCTGCTCACACTCCAACAGATCGTCAGGTCCCAAGTACCATTTGTCTCCATTCACTCCTATCTAACACGCTCACGCACGCTTGCTGGAAGTCCAAGCCCCTTGCCCACAAAACCTCCTTTACCCCCTATCTCCAACCCTTTCGAGGACAACCCCTACCTCGCCTTCCTTCCCCTATAGATTTATATGCTTTCCATGTCATTCTACTTTGATCCATTCTCTTTAAATGATTAAACTGCCTCAACAACCCCTCTTCTGTCCTCTGACTAATACTTTTATTAACTCACACCTTTTTCTAATTTCCACACTCCGAATTTTCAGCATAATATTTACACCACACATTGCCTTTAGACAGGACATCTCCACTGCCTCCAACCGTCTCCTCACTGCTGCATTTACCACCCAAGCTTCACACCCATATAATAGTGTTGGTACTACTATACTTTCATACATTCCCTTCTTTGCCTCCATAGATAAAGTTTTTTGACTCCACATATACCTCAATGCACCGCTCACCTTTTTCCCTCATCAATTCTATGATTAACCTCATCCTTCATAAATCCATCCGCCGACACGTCAACTCCCAAGTATCTGAAAACATTTACTTCTTCCATACTCCTCCTCCCCAATTCGATATCTAATTTTTCTTTATCTAAATAATTTAATACCCTCATCACCTTACTCTTTTTCTATATTCACTTTCAACTTTCTACCTTTACACACATTCCCAAACTCATCCACTAACCTTTGCAATTTTTCTTTAGAATCTCCCATAAGCACAGTATCATCAGCAAAAAGTAACTGTGTTAATTCCCAATTTGAATTTGATTCCCCATAATTTAATCCCACCCCTCTCCCGAACACCCTAGCATTTACTTCTTTTACAACCCCATCTATAAATATATTAAACAACCATGGTGACATTACACATCCCTGTCTAAGACCTACTTTTACCGGGAAGTAGTCTCCCTCTCTTCTACATACCCTAACCTGAGCCTCACTATCCTCATAAAAACTCTTTACAGCATTTAGTAACTTACCACCTATTCCATATACTTGCAACATCTGCCACATTGCTCCCCTATCCACTCATATACCATATCACATGCCTTTTCTAAATCCATAAATGCAATAAAAACTTCCCTACCTTTATCTAAATACTGTTCACATATATGCTTCAATGTAAACACTTGATCTACACATCCCCTACCCACTCTGAAACCTCCTTGCTCATCTGCAATCCTACATTCTGTCTTACCTCTAATTCTTTCAATTATAACCCTACCATACACTTTTCCTGGTATACTCAATAAACTTATTCCTCTATAATTTTTACAATCTCTTTTGTCCCCTTTCCCTTTATATAAAGGGACTATACATGCTCTCCGCCAATCCCTAGGTACCTTCCCCTCTTTCATACATTTATTAAACAAAAGTACCAACCACTCCAACACTATATCCCCCCCTGCTTTTAACATTTCTGTCATAATCCCATCAGTTCCAGCTGCTTTACCCCCTTTCATTCTACGTAATGCCTCACGTACCTCCCCCACACTTACATTCTGCTCTTCTTCACTCCTAAAAGATGGTATACCTCCCTGACCAGTGCATGAAATTACCACCTCCCTTTCTTCCTCAACATTTAAAAGTTCCTCAAAATATTCTCGCCATCTACCTAATACCTCCCTCTCCCCATCTACTAACTCCCCTACTCTATTTTTAACTGACAAATCCATACTTTCCCTAGGCTTTCTTAACTTGTTTAACTCACTCCAAAATTTTTTCTTATTTTCATTAAAATTTCTTGACAGTGCCTCTCCCACTCTATCATCTGCTCTCCTTTTGCACTCTCTCATCTGCTCTCCTTTTGCACTCTCTCACCACTCTCTTCACCTTTCTTTTACTATCCATATACAGGAGGGCCCCGCTTTACGGCGTTTCACTTTACGGCGTTCCGCTAATACGGTCATTCCAAATTATGACCAAAACTCGCTATACGGCTCCCCCCACCTGACTTTCTAATACGGTCACTGCGCCCCACCCTGTTTGTTTACATTCTTCGTGAGCTCAGTAAGCACTAAGTCTCTCCATTTTGTCTGGAAACTCCAAAATTTCAAATGTTTTTAAAAGTTATTTCATATTTTATATATACTCTGATAATTATACTTATGTATACCTGTACTTAAATAAACTTACATACTGTGCTGGCATGCAGGTACACATTAAAATCAATAAGTGTCTTATGTCTCCAGACGTCATATTAGTAATGATAATAATAATCATCGAGTCTCATTTAAATGTCGTATATTACGTTAAATACACATTTTCATTAATCCATCTATGATATTTTTTCAAAATTATATAATAAACATGATACATAACATAAAAAGATGATAAATACACCCCACAATAGAATAAATAAACATAAATATGAGATGTGGTAGCAGACGACTTGCACAAGTGACGCCATATTAGAAATGATAATAATAATAATCACCGAGTCTCATTAAATGTTGTATATTACGTTAATATACACATTTTCATTAATCCATCCATGATATTTTTTTCAAAATTATATAATAAACAGGATACATAACATAAAAAGATGATAAATACACCCTACAATAGAATAAATAAACATAAATATGGATTTGGAAAAGGCGTATGACAGGGTGGATAGGGGGGCAATGTGGCAGATGTTGCAAGTGTATGGTGTAGGAGGTAGGTTACTGAAAGCAGTGAAGAGTTTTTACGAGGATAGTGAGGCTCAAGTTAGAGTATGTAGGAAAGAGGGAAATTTTTTCCCAGTAAAAGTAGGCCTTAGACAAGGATGTGTGATGTCACCGTGGTTGTTTAATATATTTATAGATGGGGTTGTAAGAGAAGTAAATGCGAGGGTCTTGGCAAGAGGCGTGGAGTTAAAAGATAAAGAATCACACACAAAGTGGGAGTTGTCACAGCTGCTCTTTGCTGATGACACTGTGCTCTTGGGAGATTCTGAAGAGAAGTTGCAGAGATTGGTGGTGAATTTGGTAGGTGTTGCAAAAGAAGAAAATTAAAGGTGAATACAGGAAAGAGTAAGGTTATGAGGATAACAAAAAGATTAGGTGATGAAAGATTGAATATCAGATTGGAGGGAGAGAGTATGGAGGAGGTGAACGTATTCAGATATTTGGGAGTGGACGTGTCAGCGGATGGGTCTATGAAAGATGAGGTGAATCATAGAATTGATGAGGGAAAAAGAGTGAGTGGTGCACTTAGGAGTCTGTGGAGACAAAGAACTTTGTCCTTGGAGGCAAAGAGGGGAATGTATGAGAGTATAGTTTTACCAACGCTCTTATATGGGTGTGAAGCGTGGGTGATGAATGTTGCAGCGAGGAGAAGGCTGGAGGCAGTGGAGATGTCATGTCTGAGGGCAATGTGTGGTGTGAAAATAATGCAGAGATTCGTAGTTTGGAAGTTAGGAGGAGGTGCGGGGTTACCAAAAAATGTTGTCCAGAGGGCTGAGGAAGGGTTGTTGAGGTGGTTCGGACATGTAGAGAGAATGGAGCGAAACAGAATGACTTCAAGAGTGTATCAGTCTGTAGTGGAAGGAAGGCGGGGTAGGGGTCGGCCTAGGAAGGGTTGGAGGGAGGGGGTAAAGGAGGTTTTGTGTGCGAGGGGCTTGGACTTCCAGCAGGCATGCTTGAGCGTGTTTGATAGGAGTGAATGGAGACAAATGGTTTTTAATACTTGACGTGCTGTTGGAGTGTGAGCAAAGTAACATTTATGAAGGGATTCAGGGAAACCGGCAGGCCGGACTTGAGTCCTGGAGATGGGAAGTACAGTGCCTGCACTCTGAAGGAGGGGTGTTAATGTTGCAGTTTAAAAACTGTAGTGTAAAGCACCCTTCTGGCAAGACAGTGATGGAGTGAATGATGGTGAAAGTTTTTCTTTTTCGGGCCACCCTGCCTTGGTGGGAATCGGCCGGTGTGATAATAAAAAAAAAAAAAAAAATATGAGATGTGGTAGCCAGATAACATAAGAGAAAATGTGTTACTGGGGGTAACTGTAGAAAATTATTCCTTTCGTATGTATGTAAGTAAGTTTATTCAGGTATACACAAATACAGTTACATAGATTATCATACATAACATATGTGTAGAGAACCTAGGATAACCCAAAAAAGTCAGAGTGACTTATTTCCATTGCCTTCACTCAGAGCATCATTTCTTCTCAAAATGATGTTACATGAGAATGGGAGTTTTCTTCATTTATTTATTCTACCGTATCAATGTAGAGACAACCTGTACACAATGTAACTTGTACACAAACCAGACGTGTACACTTCGTTTACAAAATTTACCTTCGCCTGGTTTGTTTACATAACTCTGCGCCTGTCCTCTCTCATGCACTCATTCTTTCTCTCTCTCATTTATTCGTTTTATCTCATTTACTTACTCCTGACCCTACATTAAGACTACAAATATTTTAAGGTAAGTAATGAGTGAACTGTATATACATTTTATCGCTCTGGGATGCTTAAATATCATAGAATAGTATG